GCCAAGCTTATAGCGACATACCCCAAGAGACTTGCAGCTGTAATTGCTGCAAAAGGTGGCTCTACAAAGTATTGAATAGTTATGCACACTCTGTCTTATTTCTTGTTTGTTTCACAATAAAAAATAGTGATAGGCATGTAGTGTAAATCAAATGATACAAATCCCCCCAAAACTCCATTTTAATTCCAGGTTGTAAGGCAACAAAATAGGAAAAATGCCAATGGGTGTGAATACTTTTGCAAGCAACTGTACATGACTGACATCTGTGTTCATCCATGTATGCTGGCAAGATAGCCAATGCAATGGCTGAGGCAGGGATATTCAGTGATGTAAAGTCCTTAAGTAAAAATACTTTAAAGTACTACTTAAGTATTCTTGGGGGGTATCTGTACTTTACTATTTATATTGGACAACTTTTACTTCACTATACACTCCTAATGAAAATAATGTCATTTTTACTCCATACATTTTCCCTGACACCCAAAAGTACTCGTTACATTTTAAATGCTTAGCAGGACATAAAAATGGTCCAATTCACGCACTTATCAAGAGAACATCCCAGGAAATCCTACTGCCTCCCATCTGGCTGACTCACTAAACACACATGCTTTGTTTGTAAATGATGTCTGAGTGTTGGAATGTGCTCCTGGCTATCGGTAAATAAAAAATAACAAGAAAATGGTGCCCTCTGGTTTGCTTAATATAAGGATTTTTTTTACAACTTTTGATACTTAAGCAAATTTGAGCAATTACATTTAATTTTGTACTTAAGTATATTTAAAACCAAATACTTTTAGACTTTTACTTCAAGTAGTATTTTACTGGGTGACTTTCACTTTTACTTGAGTCATTTTCTATTAAAGGTATCTTTACTTTTACTCAAGTGTGACAATTTGATACTTTTTCCACCACTGGGGATATCTAGCTAGCTAGCTAGCTACCACCCACTGGCTGGCAGTTTGTGGTCATTCGGTGTTCAAACAAGATAGCTGAAATATAATGAGACAATAACTGGAACTGAGCTAACTAGCTAGCTAGGTAGTTGGGGGCTACAGATGGGTTAGCTAATACGTTAGCTAGCTAGCTATAGTACCTCTGTTTTTTCATACATGCATTATGCACAGTGGCGGTGGGTGAAGATTGGTTAAAATAAAGTTAAAATACTGTGAGCTAATTGTAGCTATTTTTAATAAATTGAATAGATTATCTATCTATCCAACATTGCAATTAGAGCTAGCTGTCTATATGCATTTAGAAAAAAAACATACAAATACATGGCTCTGGCTAGCATACAGGTCAGCTGCAACCAAGGCAATGTAGCTTTCTAGCTAGCTAACATTTCCTCCATGAACGAAGCAAACTAGCTATCTAGTTAGCAACCTAGAAAAATAGAGTATTGATAACAAGAGAGTAGTGTTGATGATTTCATATACATTTTTGAAAATTGAGTATATATTAGATAATCTAGCTAGTCCGGTGGTGGTCTGCATATGGTTTCCTATGTACAGTGCATTCGGAAAGTATTCAGACCCCTTGACTTTTTCATCATTTTGTTATGCTACAGCCTTATTCTATAATTGATAAAATTCTTTTTTTCCTCATCAATCTACACACAATACCCGATAATGAAAAAGCCAAAACAGGTTTTTAGAAATTTTTGCAAATTTATAAAAAAAAAAAAAAACGGAAATATCATATTTACATAACTACAGTGAGGGAAAAAAGTATTTGATCCCCTGCTGATTTTGTACATTTGCCCACTGACAAAAAATTATCAGTCTATAATTTTAATGGTAGGTTTATTTGAACAGTGAGAGACAGAATAACAACAAAATAATCTAGAAAAACGCATGTCAAAAATTTTATAAATTGATTTGCATTTTAATGAGGGAAATAGGTATTTGACCCCCTCTCAATCAGAAAGATTTCTGGCTCCCAGGTGTCTTTTATACAGGTAACGAGCTGAGATTAGGAGCACACTCTTAAAGGGAGTGCTCCTAATCTCAGCTTGTTACCTGTATAAAAGACACCTGTCCACAGAAGCAATCAATCAATCAGATTCCAAACTCTCCACCATGGCCAAGACTAAAGAGCTCTCCAAGGATGTCAGGGACAAGATTGTAGACCTACACAAGGCTGGAATGGGCTACAAGACCATCACCAAGCAGCTTGGTGAGAAGGTGACAACAGTTGGTGCGATTATTCGCAAATGGAATAAACACAAAATAACTGTCAATCTCCCTCGGCCTGGGGCTCCATGCAAGATCTCACCTCGTGTAGTTGCAATCATCATGAGATCGGTGAGGAATCAGCCCAGAACTACACGGGAGGATCTTGTCAATGATCTCAAGGCAGCTGGGACCATAGTCACCAAGAAAACAATTGGTAACACACTACGCCGTGAAGGACTGAAATCCTGCAGCGCCCGCAAGGTCCCCCTGCTCAAGAAAGCACATATACAGGCCCGTCTGAAGTTTGCCAATGAACATCTGAATGATTCAGAGGAGAACTGGTGAAAGTGTTGTGGTCAGATGAGACCAAAATCGAGCTCTTTGGCATCAACTCAATTCGCCGTGTTTGGAGGAGGAGGAATGCTACCTATGACCCCAAGAACACCATCCCCACCGTCAAACATGGAGGTGGAAACATTATGCTTTGGGGGTATTTTTCTGCTAAGGGGACAGGACAACTTCACTGCATCAAAGGGACGATGGACGGGGCCATGTACCATCAAATCTTGGATGAGAACCTCCTTCCCTCAGCCAGGGCATTGAAAATGGGTCGTGGATGGGTTTTCCAGCATGACAATCACCCAAAACACACGGCCAAGGCAACAAAGGAGTGGCTCAAGAAAAAGCACATTAAGGTCCTGGAGTGGCCTAGCCAGTCTCCAGACCTTAATCCCATAGAAAATATGTGGAGGGAGCTGAAGGTTCGAGACCTTAATGACTTGGAGAAGATCTTCAAAGAGGAGTGGGACAAAATCCCTCCTGAGATGTGTGCAAACCTGGTGGCCAGCTACAAGAAACGTCTGACCTCTGTGATTGCCAACAAGGGTTTTGCCACCAAGTACTAAGTCATGTTATGCTGAGGGGTCAAATACTTATTTCCCTCATTAAAATGCAAATCAATTTATAACATTTTTTACATGCATTTTTTTGTTGTTATTCTGTCTCTCACTGTTCAAATAAACCTACCATTAAAATTATAGACTGATCATTTCTTTGTCAGTGGGCAAATGTACAAAATCAGCAGCATTTGGGGAGTTTCTCCCATTATTTTCTGCAGATCCTCTCAAGCTCTGTCAGGTTGGATGGGGAGCGTCGCTGCACAGCTATTTTCAGGTCTCTCCAGAGATGTTTGATCGGGTTCAAGTCCAGGCTCTGGCTGGGCCACTTAAGGACATTCAGAGACTTGTCCCGTAGCCACTCCTGCGTTGTCTTGGCTGTGTGCTTAGGGTAGTTGTCCTGTTGGAAAGTAAACCTTTGCCCCAGTCTGAGGTCCTGAGCACTCTGGAGCAGGGTTTCATCAAGGGTCTCTCTCTACTTTGCTCCATTAATCTTTCCCTTGATCCTGACTAGTCTTCCAGTCCCTGCCCCAGATGTGTGCTTCGACACAATCCTGTCTCTGAGCTCTACGGACAATTCCTTCGACCTTACGCTTGGTTTTTGCTTTGACATGCACTGTCAACTGTGGGACCTTATATAGACAGGTGTGTGCCTTTCCAAATCATGTCCAATCAATTGAATTTATGACAGGTGGACTCCAATCAAGTTGTAGAAACATCTCAAGGATGATCAATGGAAACAGGATGCACCAGAGCTCAGTTTCGAGTCGCATAGCAAAGGGTCTGAATACTTATGTAAATAAGGTATCTGTTTTTTAATTTTGATAAATTATCAAAAAGTTATAAAAACCTGTTTTTGCTTTGTCATTATGGGGTATTGTGTGTAGATTGATGAGGAATATAAAGTATTTTTTTACTCAATTTTAGAATAAGGCTGTAACGTAACAAAATGTGGGAAAAGTCAAGGGGTCTGAATACTTTCCGAATGCACTGTACTCCTATGCGTTCTCAAGTCTAGCAATCCAACGCTCGCAACCCGGAACTACCAGAATAGCTTTGTTTACAAATATTCTGACAAACATTCTGATTTGCCACACAATATGGATTTTGAAAGGGAATTTTATGCATTTTGAAAACTTTTTTTCATTGGGTGTTATTCATCAACTTCCACAATAAATATAAGCCATAAAATAATCAAATATTTACAATCTCTCTTCATTATTTTATAGTCCTAGTTAAATTCTCTCTCATCAATAAAGTTTTTTTGTGATTATTGTATTTATTATTTTACGTATGACTTTCTGTGTGTCCCTGATATCACTTTCAACCCTGTTAGTTTGTTGTAATTCTCAATTTAAGAAAACAACCCTTTCCTACAATGACACCACATTCAGGAAGTGTCATAATTTATTTGGTGAGAAAACAATGGTGAAAAGCTAAATAAAAAAAACACTCCGTTTGATCTATTTTTCCATGTTTCATGTTGTTAATCTGTATGTCCCTAGCTCAATTTTGGTCACTCACACTCCAAATTTCCACCCTGTTAGGATTATGCACAGGCTTGAAAATGCACCCAAAAATGTTTTGTGCCTGAGGTTGTGCCTGTGCCTGAGGTTGACCAATATGTTTTTCAGAAAGTCAAATATGTCCTTTTTCTCACAGTAGCCTAAAGAGAATATATGAAAAACTCTACTCAGAAACGTCTTCTTCCAACTACGCTTTCATTTACCAGTCAGTCAACCAATCAATCTCAACAGCCGCAGTGAGTGACAGTTGTTTTATACCTCAATGTGACAGCGCTATCTTTTTACTACCCCGCTCCACACATGGGAGTTGTAGTTCAAGAGCAATAGTTATATATTTCTTTCAGGATGTGATGTTCTCTCAAGAACTGCATTTACCACAAGCGACCCAACTGTTTTCATGCTGTCCACGGGTGTTTGCTTTTGTTGTAGTAGCAGGCAGCCAAGTATTAGTTGACAGGCTAGCATGCATCACTTTATTTCAATCACATCTCTCTGACAAATAGGCAGCACTGAAGACATTGGGAGAAAATTGCATAGCCACTTTAGGTAAGCTTTAAAAAAAATCCATAACAGTGTATGTGCATTAATTTATCAATGTTGTTAATTTGTTCCATGATAACGCGTCTGCTAAATGACTAAAATGTAAATGTAACTAACAAAATGATGACTTGCTGACAAATGCTTAATTAATGCTTTCAAGCTACCATGGCAACATTTATTCAATCTAGTTAGGCCTATTGGTAACACAAGCATAATATTAATTAAATGATAATCTTCTAAAATGTATGAGGTCATGTTCATTTTAAGGGGACAGTTCAACCCAAGTTGGAGCATTTATCAATGAATCTAGGCTACTATAGCATAATATGCCATGTCATAATACGTTATAACTTTATCTTTTAGACAAATCATTTTTTGTTTGAGGTGTAATCTACTTTTAAATGAAGCCTAGTAATTACAGTGACAGGTGAAGATGCATAGACAAAACAATAAGGTATGACAACAATGTTGCATAATCTTTGGGTGATCACAGCAACTTCATGACAACAACAAACATCCTGTAGGCCTATATTCCATACTTCCCTATCATCTTTGCCTGGCTGCTGGCTCAGTTCTCTCACACTCTCTGGAGTGCTGCTTGTTTAAGCATTCTCAGAAACGATTCTGGCATGGACAGTGAACACTAATTTCACAACACTTGTAAATATAATATTTGTTCCTGTCCATCAACTGCACTCGAAGAGGTTTTGCCATTCATCAGAATGTTACCAAGAATAGCTTTAAGCCCTTGACCTCAATCCATGACATTGCAGAATATTATGCGACTGCCTGTAGGCTTCCAATTGGAGATAAAACACACCAGCTGATATACATCTACCACCTCTACTTTTTATTGTATATAAGATCAGCTTTAAAACCATAAGCTGGAATGAAGGCTTTTAACCGGTGCAATAAAAGGGTCAATATGTAGGTAGGTAGGCTAAAGCCTATGGTATGCCTACATCCAAAGATTTCCAATCTGAATAGTAGCTTTCAAGTAATATTGTAATTTAGGCTTACTACAAGCATGTTACTTTTAAAGAATACAGAACTATGGAATAGTGTAAACCAAATACCCTTTAAAGCAGATCCTACAGTAGAAGTAAAATGGCAACATTGCTGTGTTTTTCCTTCATCCATAGCTTGTTTTATGGCCATAATCTCAAACATACTCGTGATGTTGTTTGTTTACGAACATTGGGACATATGAGTGTCTGTTACAGTGAACACATCACATTCCTAAACTTGTACCGCTATCATTTTTCATCAGCTGTTCTCCACTGGACTGGAACACATTTCACATTTCCACGTCATGTTTTAGTCCCTACAGAGCTCCTAATTGCCATGGAAAAGCAGTCCAAGGTGGAATTTCGGAATGTGGGACAGATGTATTTCCCCCAAAGTAGAGTGGAGTGCCACTACAGCCTTACCTCTCATCATCACTGGACCAACAAGGATTGGATAGGCCTATTCAAGGTGTAGTAACATTCACAACTTACCTTTTTTCCTGCAAATAGTACATTTCACTCCTCTTATAGGGACCACAAGATTTTCCCATTTTACATTTGTATAAAAAGAGCCAGAGTGATCACTATAAACAGTATTTTAACAGCATTAGTAGGCTATTGGAAAGATTACGTCCACAATTTTTTTAAATCGCTAAGCGTTTGCGCATTGTACTGTTTTGATGTTTAAAACAATAGAACACTTCCAAAAAATCACAAGGGTAACCTATTATTGATATGAACAATATGGAGAACTGCTAATGTCTCACTCAGGCTGGCTGGTCATCAGTGAAAGAGTACACAACCTTTGCGTGGGCACTCACTCCTGAGGGGTACACTGAAGGAACTAATGCCAACTGCTGTGTACATTTCCAAGGTAAGAATGCATCCATCATGTTAGATTAGCACAGGAATGAGAAGTACATTTTAAGGCTGGGTCTAGCAGAGCAGGTCATGGAGCAGAGCAGGCCATGCTGCTGGTTTTATTGTCACTGGGATTCATAGAGTAACCAACTGGATTGCATTCCTCTCATTAGAGTTTACCAGCAAATTAGCATAACATTTATTGTCAAGCAGTCAAACCCCTTGATGTAGCATACATTTGATTTAAAATTGGTTATATTATACTCAACACACGTTTGATAAGTTTTTGGGGAAGAAAATATGATAAACCGAACAGAAGAAGTGAGAATCTATGCCCCCACTCCATATCTCCTCCCTCCCCACAGCCTCTTACCTGCCCCGCCCCAGTGCGGTGGAGTACCAGTTTGTCTATGTGGATCAGAGAGGCGAGGTGTGTGCCCGCAGTCGCCAGTTCACCTTCTGCATTTCCAGGCCTCTGGATGAGCTGGAGACATTGACAGAGGAGCGGGACGAGGATGAGGAGGGCGGAGAGGGGGATGGGGACGACCTGCTCCTGGTGGTGCCCAGAGCTCAGCTCCTGCAGGTGGGGGATGGATGGATGGACAACAGCTCAGTTTCACTTAACTTCTTTATAAATGTGTCATACTCATATTGTCATGTGTCCAACATGAGTACAGTTTGTGGGTACAATTAATGCACACATGAGGGCAGTCTATGTTAATAGTTCGGTTCCTTGAGGTTACTCCATACAAGTTGACGGTTTAACAATCCCTGTTTTGATCATTTCCCCTTGAAAATGAATTGTTGCGTGTGGGAGCGTGACGCAGTAGTGCTGCAATCTCTCAAGCACAAAGCCGATGTCGGCATGGGGTAGAATCCCACCTCAACCACCACGTTCCACCTGTTCTCACCTCTAAATTCTGTGTCCCACTCCTACATTTCAACCTGTCTGAAAATAATCCAATATGTGAGGAGATTGGAGCTCCTGGTCCCTTTTTAAAAAAATAGAAAAAAAGAAAATTGTTGCACTGCTCTCAAGCATTCTTTCATGGACCTCTTGGTCTTCTCCCTTTCTCTATCTCTCTCTCTCTCCCTCACTCTCTCTTTCTCTGTTATGATCAGACTCGGCTGGAGGAATGCCTTAGAGAACAGGCCAATTCAAAACAGGCCCGGGAGGAGGCAGAGAGGGAGAAGGAGAGAGAGGAAGAAAGGAGCAAAAGGTTGAAGGAAGAGTGGGAGCGAGAGAGGAGGGGAATGAAGGAGGAGATCTCTGAGTTGAGGGACAACCTGAGACGGAGCTGCGACAGGATGGAGAAGGTGGAGGGGAAACAAAAGGTATAACAGTATATGTACACTGGGTAAATGGATAATAGATCAGCAGGCAGTAACTGGTACAGTAGAGACAGAGCTTAGAGTAAAATATTGCCTTATACTCCAGAAGGCGCGCATATTCTACATGTTGTAAATAAATGGATCTGGATTGTCTACAACTGCTTAAAAGCTTAAATATAGCTTGTTTATATAGCCATAAACCCTTTCATCGCTATTCTTCTCTCCCTCCAACACTGGAAGGATATGCAGTCCTCTCAAGAAACCTTATCTACTCTATTGGACGAGAAAGCTGAGCGCCAGCAGCGAATCAGAGAGATGGAAGATGACATCATGGCTCTAACTCAGAGAGGGAAGGAGACAGAAGCTGAACTTGAAAGGTAACTAAGTGTTTGTGAAAGAGAAGACTTTGACTCTGTCTTTTTTATTTTCTCTCCCTTTGCGAGTCAACCACTTTGTTTTGTTTTGACCCACAGGATGAAGGAGAGAGTGAAAAAGATGTCCACTCAATTGAGGGATGAAGAAGAGGAGAGAAAGAATCTGCAGGTAAACAATAGTGTGTAGTTTCCCTCTTGTGCAGTAATACAGCTAGTTGAAATCCCTACATAGCCTACTCAGCCCTGACGTTGGTACTCGTGGAAGTGTGCCAGGACAGCAGATCTCTGGAGCCAGGCCAGATCTAAAGACAGGTGTCAGCTCCTAGTACCCAGTGACCTCAACATTGGGTGTCAGCTCCTAGTACCCAGTGACCTCAACTTTGGTTGTCACCTCCTAGTACCCAGTTACCTCAACATTGGCAAGAAGATTATTAGCCATTTAACTTAACACAAGCTTATAGAAAACAATATATATAAAAACAAATACTAACTGCTCTCCCTTATCCCCCAGGTGGAGAACGGGGCTGTGCTGGCTGAGCTGAGGGCGATGCAAAAGCGTCTGGAGGCCAGCGAACGCGGGGCAGAGGGTCTGAGGCAGGAGTTGAGTGAGATGGGGGCTCAGCAGGGCCACAGCCACGCTGAGCTGCACCAAGCCAGGCTGCAGGCCGCCCAGCTCACCCTGCAGCAGTCTGAGGCTGACCTGGCCCTGAGGGAGGGACGCGCCCACTGGGCCCAGGAGAGAGAGGCCTTCAAACAGGCAGCAGAGGTTAATGCAGTGGTTACTGGATAGGGTAGCGCTATAATTCACAGCACAACCTCCAATACAAACATATACAGCACAAAGCAGAGGTGGGGGTAACCCCGTAATACAGAATTGGTGCAGCAGAACAGAGGGATAATGCAAGGGCAAAAGCTGAGTAATTTGCTGAATCCTATTAGCCCAGTCCAGACTGACTGGCACCTGTTTTTTGACTCAATGTTAATGCAGGGGACTAAGATTAATTCAAAACAGACCCTTTCTGGGTCCTACTTCTGGAGCCAGCAAAGTTTCCTACTCCATTGTGGATGATGGCGTAATAAGGCTCCAACTCATCTCTGCTTCACAGATCCTGAGTATATGAGGCAATAGAGCTTGGTCTATGTGGATCAGACAACCACCTATTTCAGTTAGCATACAGCCAATATTTTTTGTATTTATGAATCACGTGTATGTGTGTCCTATTTTTGATCTATCAATCCTTCTTTCCTTGCTGTAGCTTGATAAAGAGAGGGTGCAGAAGTTAAGCCGTGAGGTGCAGCGGAAGGAGGAGTGGCTTCAAGAGGAGAGGATGGAGAGACAGAAACTAGAAGTGGAGCTTGGAAAAGAGAAGGATTGCAACAGGGTAAATATAGTCAAGTGTACTGCAATAGGTAGGCTATATTTCAGCATACACAAACACATAGACCATATACAACTATTGGTACACAAAAACATACTCTTCTAAATATAACTGCCATTACCCTCGTGTCACTAATCTGTGCCCTCATCGGACATTCAGACCAGATCGGATTTCGGAAACTTTTTGCCGAACCCCAATCTAAAAAACATCCTCGGCTACTTTCACAGTACACACAAACACAAACACAAACAGACACAAATAGATATGCTATCAGCCTGACATCAACACCCATCCATCACATACTGCTCCCCACAGTGAGTCACACAAGGCTGTAAATTACAGTTAGCCCACCGGCCGTCTCTTAACACACCAGTGCCCCCTGCAGGTGCTGCTGAGCGATGCCCGCAGGGAGGTGCAGGAAGTGAAGGCCAGCATGAGAATGAACCAGAAGGAGAGAGAGCAGCAGAAGATGGAGAGACAGGCAAGGATCAGGCTATTTGCTGTTTATATCGTGTGTCTCTCCTTTATGTCTATATATTTAACTGCTGTTATGTGTGATCAAAATAAGGTTTAAAAATACTTTTTAGTGATGGGTTTGGTTTGAGTTAACCATGTTGTGGAAATTTCCATATCTGTGCTTGTCTTGCCCTGTAATGGTTGCTGTGTACACATTCAAATACACACAGGACCTGCTGGACTACGTCCATCAGTTGGAGCAGAGGCTGGAGGTGGCTACAGGCAATAAGTGGAATGAAGTGGCTCTCTACTACTCAACCAGTGAGTGATACTAATACCACAGAGACTAATGGACAGACCCAAAGCCAGGCACTCACAGTATGCATTCTAGTCATATACAGTATAGTACAGACGTCGTCCCATTCTTGGATGCTCATGACATCATACTTAAGAGTCACCATGTCTTCCTTTGCAGCTCGTGGCGATGACACCCCATCTGAGGATGAGAAGCCCTCCTCTGAGGATGAGAAGCCTGCATCTCCACTACCCTACCGGACACCCAGACTACCCTACTGGAGCGACGCCCTGGAACGCTCTTCTCACCGTAGTGTGAAGTGTCTCCAGACAGAGACGGTAGGCCACCATATCATAGCCAACGTCAAACTACATACCACCAAAACACAGAGAACACGTAATGGAAACAGCTAAGTATAAGACTATGGCACATCCGAACACAGACCAAACGATTTAATATAAACAAAACATACTAAATGACATCAAATCAGTAAAAATCACCATATAAATATCTATGAACTCCTCACTGGAGTTGTTTTATGTGTGTGTGTGTGTGTGTGTGTGTGTGTGTGTGTGTGTGTGTGTGTGTGTGTGTGTGTGTGTGTGTTCTATCAATCTGGACTAAGGATGAGGAAGAGCAGAACAAGACCAGTAAGGGTGAAGACAAACCACTGATTCTGCCAGACCTCACCAACCCCATCCAAAGGTGACCCTTCTGGCCTTCTGCCCAAACACTCCACCATCTCCAACCTAACCAATTTCTATGCTGACTATACATACACAGTGCTGACTGCTGTTAAAACTACCCTGTTCTTTTCCTTTTCTTGTGTTAGAATATTTAAAGCACTGCAGCAGTGCCACTGAATTAAAGAACAGCGGGAATAAGAGCATCTATAAAATTATAATGATTTTCCTCCCCAAAACTAATTTGAGTGTTATAGAGGTAATGCATCAGCTGGAGTAGGCCAGTGGGAGTAGAGCCACACAGGAAGGGATGGGGGTAGGGGGAAATAAAGACCAGCTCTGCCTGGAAGCAGTGTGGGGATGATCTATCACTAGTCACACTGTGTTCAGTATTCACCACATCATCACTCATTTTCTCTCTCTTTCTCTCTCTCCAACCATTATAACTACTATGCCCTTTCCCTCTCTCTTTCATGCAAGCATCCATCCACAGAGCCTCACCTAACTATTTATGTCTCTCTCCTCTTCATCTTCCTCTTTCATAGTGAGCTTGCTGACTGCTCCCCCTTGTGGTAACAGCAATGAGGACAGCGGACAAGTTGTTTGATAGTTTACAATGTAGGCCCTACATTATGGTTGGCTACAGTTAGCCATACAGACAAACTGTGCTGTAGAGATACAATATGTATAAGATTATGAATCTGTCTTGGACTGAATTGGTTGTGTGTATCAAACAAAAAAAAAGTACATTTTCTCTTAGTTTTTTACATTATATTAGTGGTTTGGTTAACATTCAATGTTGGAACTTAAAAGTGTAGATGTTTTGCGTGAAAGGTGACTATTGTGCCATGTTCATATGAGCACAATGTCAACGGATGTTTGCATAGAAATGGAACAGTGGTTTACTAGGTCATGCAACTTAGCAGATGCTTGCTGTAGACCTACATTTGAAAATAGAGGTTTGAACATTATACAATTTTTATCTAGGTATGCATTTTATCTAGGTGCTTTAACTAGCCGGATTTGGGAGTAGACTTTAAAAATGTGTGTAGATTTGTAAAAGTGTTCACAAGAGTTATAAAATGAACACGTTGTCTATTGGTTATGTGGTTTTCTTTTATTTAATGATTTATCCATTTGACTGTGAAGTTTACTTTCTGAGTGCTTCACACTGTGTGGAGGAGTTTCTGTAATAAAACGCTGTCTGTTTATTGATTGGTGCTTGTCTCCTGTGATTTTTATGAGGCACCGTTAAGACAAACCGTTCATACTCTGTATCACAGAATGGCTGGATGGAGCAAAAGATCAGGTAGGTGGCTAATTGTCTGCTCCTCTGCCTCTGGTCCTCTTTGCCAATTTCTACTCTTCATCTCTTACTATTCTCCAATACACCCCCCCTCCTATTCTCTCCCAATCAGCCCAGTCTGTAATGGCTGCTTGCATTCTTCTCAACCTGCTTTGGCACTAAAACATCTGCATTCTGAAACCCACCTCCTCTACATAGCCCCCTAAGTTGGCCCCCTCCCTCCGCCACCTGAATCTGGGATGGAGGAAAAGAGCTAATTATAAGATCAATGGTCTTATACAGCTGCTTTTACAGCCTGCTCTGAGTCTGAAACATGGACTGGAGAATCTAAGTCGCTCTGTGCCAAAACCCAAACAGTAGAGCTACCACCTCTTTGAGAATCACACCACCACTCTACTATAGCATGGCATATCACACCACCACTCTACAACTACAACAAGTCCATCCCTCATTCCTTAATCTGTTCCTTTTCATTCACTCTCACTCTCGGTTTATATTATGTTTGTCTATCTTAAGGTCTCTAACTTTGTATCCATCTGGGGCTCATGAAGATCCCTGGCTGTTATCTACTATAACACATCTACAAGGCTTTCCTGAGTGTCTCTTGATGATGTATGTTCCAAAATGCCTTTACTCCCTGATGTATCTGACAATACTGTTGGCATATTCATTTTCACCCAAGGGCAAGATGGGGCAAGTCCCCCCCACCACCCCTTTCTCTGCACAGTTTTATCTCAGAGCAGTCTCACTCCAGGCAGCCAAAGGCAGATCAAATCTAAATAAAGACAGAAATGCATAAAAAGGGGGAATAAAATATACTGCTCAGCCTCCTTAAATCCCCCACCCCAACCTGCGTTCCCATGGAAACGTGCCTCAGCGCAGTGGAATATATGAGGTCGTTAAAAGCTTCCTTGTAAAACAGTGGATAATGTATGGACCCTGTTTTAATCCTTGCACCCCTTTATAGATCTCTGTTTAATGAAAGTTAATTATAGCAATCATTTAATTAGCAGTCCTATCCCAATTTACTGCATTCTTCTCTCTCCCTATTACAAAAAAATGACCATGCTGACAAAACACATCCATCATTGAAGGGAGAAGTGTGTGTGTGCGCGCGTGTAATGCATGCAAAGATTGTGCCATCCGGTTGTTGGGGATTTGGCAGAGGCTAATCGTGGACAGATTTTGACGAGACTAAACCTCACTTTGCCTCTTCCTCTCTGGTTGATCTCAATCAGGGCCGTGCACAGACCTTTCAGGGGACAGGTGCTCAAAATAAAAAAGGGCATATTTCTGTAGCAAATATATATATATTTTTTTTAGCATAGGCCTATTTATACAGTAACTCCTAAAGACATGGGCTCAATCTCAATAACCCCCTTTAGCCCTCCACCTCGTTTCGAGTGTCCTTCGGTGGGGGAGTGACACTCTAAAACTGAGCAACTAATGGTAGGGAGAGCTAAACTGAAAGGGACATCACTACATCACTCGTGCACATCAGAATCTGCGGATACCACATAATTCATTGGCGACGAGCCTTTTTCACAATGCCTGTACTGGCGGTAGTAATAGCTTTCCTTATATTTCTCATGCAACAAATACGTACTTACCATATGAGTACAGCAGAACAACAATGTACACTTAATGTACCCATCCTTTGGCTGTGGTTCAATGTGGAGTAGTACTGAAGCAGGACTTTCATTCCATAGCAGTTTGACATGTAACAATCGCATTTCCTTCACTCAGTCATTATCAGTGGAAGCTTTGTAGCTAGAACAATTAAAGCCACTGTTCTGAACTAATATTTATATCAAACATTTTAGGATCCATACACAGATTGGCTACATAGTTACACATCCATAGCATACAGGTATTTTTATCCTCCACTACACAATAAGCAAGAATATAGTTAGCTACTACTACGTTACCTGCATTAGCAAATACCCTTACAAAAAATGATTGCAGTCAGAGTGCAGTATAACTGCAGTAAGAGTGCAGTATAACTGCGGTATTTTGCAAATACTGTGTCCAAAATAACAGTTTATTTTTACTGCAGTAATTTTGCAGTGTAACTGCAGTTACAGTGCAGTATACCGGTAACTGCAGTTCAACTGCAGTACACTGCAGTTATTCTGCAATTACTGCATCCAAAATACCACAGTCAACTGCAGTTACTGCACAATGCAAATAGTCCGGGTAGCCATCCAACATTGTAAATTGAAGATATAATTGATTATATACTTCTGGGCTGCACGTGCACCATAAAAATATGGAATAGAATGTTGTCCAGGCTTGACGTAGATTCAGGTGAATACTTTTGGAACTCTGAACCATTGACTGCCTGGCTGCACCAGATGGCAGTGTGTGAGTGGGTTTATTTTGACAATGAAGCACCGGACTACAGCCATATCGTTTTGAACCTAGTAGAATACCTATAGAAGGGAGTAGGCAAGAAGGAGTCGGCCGAAATTGGCCAAAGTAATGTCTAGTTGGTCAGAAAAGTATGGTAAGTTCCCGAATGAGTGTTTTTGATAACTGCCTAGTTGGTTAGCAAGCTAGCTTCGTTTTACACTTAGCTAGTTAGCTAGCTAGATAATGAACTAACTGCAATTATCATAAACCATTATTATCTACAAAAAGGTTCAAAAAGGGTTATTTGGCTGTCCCCATAGGAGAACCCTTTTTGGTTCCAGGTAGAACTATTTTGGGTTCCATGGGGAAAGGGTTCTACATGGAACTCAATAGGGTTCTACCTGGAACCAAAAAGGGTTCTTAAAATGGTTCTCCTATGGGGACAGCAGGAGAACCCTTTTAGGTTCTAGATAGCACCTTTTTTTCTAAGAGTGTAGCTAGCTACAGTAGCTAAATATCTGTCAGATGTAAAGTAAGCAGGATTATGGCATGTCAGAAACAATACATGTTGGCTAGCTAGCTCACATTAGCTAGATCACGCTTGCTAGCTAGCTAGCTAGCGAGCTAATGCCTACAGATGTAACTCAGAGGTGAAGCCTACTTTCTGAATTAAGCAATAGAGTCGATACTTCTAGAAATTAATAGGGTTGTCATTTAGCTAGCTAGCTACTGTGGGGATCTATTTTCTTATAACTAGATGTGATGCCTAGCTTAGAAAGAATACATTAATGATTAAACATAATAGGTTTGTGCTGTACTGATATAGATTGTTTAACATAACAAGCTGTGATTAATGTGAGGAACCGTTAGGGGGTAGGCTGAGACAGACTTGTGATTCACACACACACTGCCTCTTTGTTAAACCGCTCAAGGACATGTGTTCTGCTACAAAGAAGAACAAACTATGTCTGAGGTTGCTGACTCGAGACAAGTTGTAAAGATAACAACTAATGCCCGGCAACAGTGAAGCGCCAAGGGGCTGGGACCAGCCTGTGCGCCATCGATAGGTTGGGTAAGTTTAAACCACACCCAGCCTCTACTCTGACAGGCCCAGCAGGGAGCGGGAACTATCTCTGTCAGAGTATTTAAAGAAGAACTTATAACAAAAGCTCAGTTCTCTGTCTGCCCTGCGTGGTTTTTCAGTGGGCCCGTATATACGAACTTCATATTTACCTTTCAAGTGTTTGCATTAATTAAAATACTAGTCTATTTTAGAAGACGTGTATTGACCTCTTTTTGTTCCTATACCAGATTTGAATTGACGCAACTTAACAATTGGTGACCAACGACGTGATCTGGTAGAGGGACTTCGCTGGGTATTGTCCGGCCGATTGGACATCGCTGTCGTTGGACGGTGTGTTTCACAAAGAGTCCGGACAACAAAAAACAGGTAAGCAGACCTCTATTGTTATATAACTAAAGTTCTGCACATTGGCTTTATCCAAATTAATTTTGTGAATCACCTGTTTGATGTAAGTGAACTAAATTATGAATTTTTATACAAATTATTATGAGTAGATAAGCACCATATTGTGACATGCAAACCTGTGGTGAATGTGATGTTAAACCATGGTACCATAGAGTATTGTTCTACCGGCGAGGTCCGTAACTACGAGGGTACAGCTAGGTTCGGGGAAAATACTGAAATCTCTCGGCAAGGTCCGTAACTACGAGGGTACGGCTAGGTTCGAGGATATAGGGAATAATTGAATTAGTAATTGCTATCGGCGAGGTCTGTAACTACAAAGGGTACGGCTAGGTTCGAAGAATTACACCGGCGAGGTCCGTAACTACGAGGGTACGGCTAGGTTCGGGAAATTTTAGATAAAATACTAGCGACCGGCGAGGTCCGTAACTACGAGGGTACGGCTAGGTTCGGTGGAGTATTTTGTAGATAGGGGGAGGAATAGGAGGCGAGGTTGGAAGGAGTGATATTAAATTGGGAATATAAAGGTAAAAATAATGAATAACTAGTATGACTAAACTGAAACGTTTGAACTGATATAACTGAACTGTAACATTTGATGTTTGACATTGTCAGCGGGTGCTGTAGGTGGGTGTGGTGTGGGAATCAGGCGCAGGACGCAGAAGATAAGTCCAAAAGACTTTAGTAATGCACACTCAAAACACGATCCAACAGCCCGGAGGCGAGAAAATGCGCACACAGGCGTAAACAAAAGGGCGCACTAAACATGTGCGAAAAATACTCTCCTACACAAAGGAGGCAAGCTACAATAGCGCACTGTAAATAGTAGCGCACCAACACGACAGCGAAAACAATCACACACAACACCTGACAAACACAACGAGAACTTATAGGACACTAATGACGCTAAACGACAACAGGTGTACATAATCCAGACAAAACCAAACAAACATAGAAACATACAACGGTGGCAGCTAGTATTCCGGAGACGACGAACGCCGAAGCCTGCCCGAGCAAGGAAGAGAGGCAGCCTCGGCCGAAACCGTGACAGTACCCCCCCCCTTGACGCGC